TTACTTGTGACTAAATACGTTAGCTAGTTTTATTCATTGCTGTCACCTCACATGTGTTTACTTGTGACTAAATACGTTAGCTAGTTTTATTCACTGCTGAAGCCTGACATGTGTTTACTTGTGACTAAATACGTTAGCTAGTTTTATTCACTGCTGAAGCCTCACATGTGTTTACTTGTGACTAAATACGTTAGCTAGTTTTATTCATTGCTTTCACATACGAATAATACTTCTTTTATATCTTCTAATTGCGGGGCAGGGCACGGCCTGGTGGTTAAGGCGCTCGATTCACAATCTGAAAGTCGCGGGTTCGAATCCCCGTCACTCATCCTTTCAGCTGTGAGGCGTTATAATGTTACGGTCTATCCCACTATTCGTTGGTAAAAGAGTAGCTCAAGAGTTGGCGGTGGGTGGTGTTGACTAACTACCTTTTCTCTAGATTATCACTGCTAAATTGGAACAGTTAACACAAATAGCCCTCGTGCACCATTGCGCGAAATTCAAAACAAATCAAATAGACCAATCTAAATGCGTTACGTTTATAACAAGAGTGTGTTTTACACTACTGGTTTAACATTTCAATTTGCAAGAACACCTATGAACAATTGTATCAAGGAAGGCTATCAAATACCGAGCACCTCTTTTTCTGTGATTTCAGATCCATTGTTATGGAGTCCAGAGCACGTGAAGCAGTGGGTCGAATGGGCAGTAAAAGAGTATAGTCTTCATGATCTTGACGTCTCGCGATTTCACGTGATGGGACGAGACTTGTGTCAGCTAACCAGAGAAGACTTCAGTCGCTTGACAAATCCTTACAACGGTGAAATTCTATATGCTCACCTTAACTTTCTACGACAGAGTAAGTCACTTTTTTCGAATCGACGGTTAATTTAACATGTCAAACAAGAATTGAGGCTCACAATTTGTTTTATCTTTAAAGACTTTCCTATTATATTTACAATAATGCTTGAAAAAACGTTATTTACAAACGTTTTCATGCCAGTACATGTTTGCACAAAGACAACTTTATCAGGTTAAATAGGATGTGAATTATTTTAACAACCTCAATGATAGATTAAGAGAAATATTTGAATAAAAGATTCCGAGATCACAGTGGAAAGGTCATATTCACAAATACTTATACAGTTTCTGAACTATCTGATTTTCTTCATTGTTTTGTCTATGGCGAATTGAAACGAACTACCAAGTAACAGAATGTTAGATTGTAAGTGTTACACGACATACCTGAGATCGAAGATATGGTGATACAGAACGTGATTTCAGTATATATATTGCATTATGTCAGTGTATGACTCATGTTGTTACGTCACATTATTATAGACTACATTTTATTACCGCCTAACATCATATTGGAACACTACTGTATGTCAGTATATAACTTATGTTTACATTATATGTAATGCTCGTAAATGACGTCACATCTACTTATACTACGTCACATTAACACCTGCCATTAAGTTTTAGATTATGAAACTCCATAAAGCTAGAGTATAAAATTCCACAATGTTAGACAATACAGTTCTACAAGGTTAGAGTACAGAGTTCCACAAGGATAGAGTCTGAAGTTCTACAAGATTAGAGTATGAAGTTCCACAACTTTGGAGTATATAGTTATACAACGTTAGGGTAGGAAGTTCAACAAGGTTAGAGTATATAGTTCCACAAGATTAGAGTATGAAGTTCTACAAGGTTAGAGTATAGAGTTCCACAAGATTAGAGCATGAAGTTCTACAAAGTTAGAGTATAGAATACTACAAGATTAGAGCATGAAGTTCTACAAAGTTAGAGTATAGAATACTACAAGATTAGAGTATGAAGTTCTACAGATTA